AAACTCGGGAACAATGCTGACAAAGGCGACACTGTGACGTGCTCTTGTTCAGTCTTCTCTAAGCTTTTTGGTGCATCCACACAGTGAAGTGCTGTGGGCCTAAGAGTGTCCAATTCAAGAAGGAAGAATATTTATAGTCCATTATATGGTGTCTTGTGTAGAAAACGCTTAATGCTTAACTGCAAAACAGTCTGTGTGTGCGCGCGTGTTTGAAGGGAATCTAATAATAAAATCCAAAGACTTGTTAATGAAACTTCTCTTTTTAAATGCATTCTGTTAAGATCTGAGGAAGGGGGTTGTGTGCCTTCAGGGAGGACGGGCGATGGCGCCTGGCACTTGGTGGGGGTTCCTCACAGTTGCAAGCCTGGCACAAGGAAAACTTAGTACGGTGAATTCTGGGTATTGGGTGTGATGGGTACATGCAGTAGAGGCCTAAAGAGAGGGGTCTTGAGTTCATCTGTGTCATGTGCCAGTTCTCTACGGTGAAAATCTGCAGCAGAGACCAGCTGTCTCCTCATTTCATTGTCATTTGATGAGTAGCTAAGAAAGCAGGGAGACAGGAAGGAAGACTCCAGACTGAAACTCCACGTTCCTGTTAAATGGTGATGCTAGCCAGAAATACCAAGCCCTCTGCCATTGATTTGGACAGAAACTTGCCCTGTTTCATTAACACAAAGGGATTTGAGCAAGAAAAATTATTGAAAAATAGAAAATTATCTCTGCTGCTGTATAAATGGGGACTTTTAAGTGGGAAAAAATTTGTAAAAATCTTTAGCTCTTTCAATTCCTGACAAGTAAAAAGTATTTTAAAAGCTATGAAATAGAACACATCTGTAACAGAAATGCCTGCTTACAAAGATTTACTAACATTCTATAAGTTTTGAAATAGGAATTGTCTTAGTCAACTCGGGCTGCCATAACAAATTACCATAGACTGGTTGGCTTAAACAACACACATTTATTTTCTCACAGTTCTGGAGGCTGGGACCCTGAGATCAGGGTACCGGCACGGCCATGTTCTGCTGAGAGCTCTTTTGCTGGTTGTCTCACTCAGCAGAGAGAGAGAAAGGAATGTCTCTGGTGTCTCCTCTTGTAAGGGCCCCAATCTCATCATGAGAGCCCCATCCTTATCTAAACCTAAAGGCCCCATCTCCAAATACCATCATGCTGGGGATTGGGGCTTCAACGGATATATGTGGAGGGATCACAATTCAGTTCACAGCAGGCATGATATCCAAACACCGTTCACGTCTTCCTTCCTCTTTATACCTGCAATGTTGCCTGGCACCCTAGCCTAAGTACACACAGGGTGACATTAATGCCCAAATTACAGACTCTGAACTCTTCCTGCCTGTGGGACCTTGGCCCCTCTCCAGGTTCTCAGCCACTCCTAGACAGTGCCTCATTGATGTTCAGGGCCAAGGTCACCTTCCTTAAGATGGCTCCTTGCCCCACCCACCACTTCCCCCTGGTGCATTTCTCTGTACTCTCAGGGCCCCTTTGGTGGTAAGTCTGCATGTACGGGTGGGGTGGGGGCTGCGGCAAGATGCCCCTCTGCAGCATGCTACTTCTCAGAGCCAGTCATGTCTCATGTGCCCTGAACTCCACGTTTCCCAAGTGTATTTGAAAACAGATGCTTTTGTCTATAGAGAATCTTGAGAGATTAATGTTCTGTGAAGTGCACTTTGGCATTTTAAATATCCTCTGGCCCGTCCTGAAGAAATTCATTGGATGGATCAAGAAAACCTACAGAAGCATTCTCTCAGGTGGCCTGGCTGAGCTCAGGATGAAACAGCCTTTGTGTTATTTCCATCGCCATCCTTGTAACTCATAAGCCTCAGGCATAACATTTGTATTGTATTTCATACAATGCTTTGTCTCGCGCTGCCTTTCAAAAAACAATACAAATGCTGAGGGATTATGCTTATTTTACAGATGAGGAAACTGAGGCTCAGAAAAGAGAGGTCATAAGCTCTGGGTGACACAGCTAGGAAAGGGTGACAAACCCAAGCAGGGGACTTGGAACCCTCTTCTCCTGCTGTACCATACTGTGGCCTGTTGGGTTTCCAACAAAACAACCCTTTGGGATGAACCCAGGCATCTTCCATCTGGCCTCAGTTAGGGCATGGAGTGGAAATGCCCTTGTGCCTTGCATGACAGGCCACAAGGCAGTCTGGTGTCAGACACAACATCTAGAGAAAGCAGCAAGCATGAGGAACAGAGGGAAACTGGCACTTAGACTTCTGGTGTGACAGTTCTGGGCCACTCTGCCTCGTGGTTTCTGACTTGGTGTGTTCCCATGAAAGTGCCATCTCTGAACTCCATTAAGTACGTTACTTATTTAGACACATATTTACAGCACAGCCCGCTCAGGGGAGGTTCCTAAATAAAAGACTCAAAAAGCACAACCTTCCTTAATAATGAAGAGCAGATGCGTATGTTTTAGCTCTACTCAGAAATTATCTAGTGCTCTTAGGAAGCACTGGTCCTTTCTCATCCTCTTAAAAGGGTATCACTTTCTGGAGACACTGGTTTGAATATGCCCAATTAGTAGATAATTATGTAACCTCCTTTGAGCCTCATTAGATGTGTGTCAGAGTTATCAGAAGAATACCGAGGGGTAGCCTCGTGCTGTTTACTCACTCATTGGTCTGCCAGGTATATTAATAGTTAATAATGAGAGCTGCCGTATATTAAGTGTTTACTAATAGCCAAGCGCCGTGTAAAATGCTTTATGTAATTGATCTTATTTAATCTGTAACATTTGAAAATAATTTGTTGGATGGATGGATACGAGTCAGAGTTGAGAAGTGTAACATGTGAATGTAAGACCTAGTCTTGGACAGAAAAGTGGTATTGACTGTGGGAGAAACATTTTGTTTAGGTACCAGCGTGGAGCCAGGACTCCTCGACACAGCTTTGTCCTTCCTGTCACCCACCTATCCGCGTTTGCCCATGCTTCTACAGGGCGGCAGAAATGGGGCAGAGCAGGAAAAGCTGGCCCACTGCAGATGCCAGAGGCTGGGGAGATGTACAGAACTACAGAGGGGTGGCGGACATCCTGATTTCTGGGGGCAGTGTGGCCTGTCACATGGAAGAAGACACTGACTGTCCGAGGGACTTCTGGAAGCAGAGCGGAGCGGGTGGTGGATGGTCTCCTATGCCTGGACCGTCAAGTTCTGGGAGGCAGGAGGCAGGTGACAGTGACGTGTTGGTGGAGGCGCGTTGGGAAGGAGCACTGGAGGCTGACTTTTAGTTTTGTGATGATAGCAGCCCCCGTCCCCCAGCTCTGTCACCGGGGAGCAGGCGCAGAGAACAGGCAGTGGGATTGATCTTGGGTGGACAACTCGCAGGTGGCACGTGGCGGAACACGGGGAGCCAGGGCGCCCGGCGTGCCAGGGTGGGTGGAAGGACCCCGCTGCGACAGGGGAGCAGAGGCCAGAAGGAAGCGCTGAGGGGCCGGAGGTGAACGTGAAGGGCCAAGACGTTCTTTGGGAGCCAGGAGCCGGCAGGACACGTGCGGAGGGGGCCAGAATCGAACATACAGATTAGGCTCGGGCCACTCGGCGTGCGGCGTCCAAAACGTGTGACGATGACATTGGCATCAACCATTGAGGGGCAGACACGGAGAAGCTATTTGCAGAGGTGATAAAATGTGTGTCCTCCTCAAGGATATTTATCGAACGTTCCCCTCCCTGACAGCCTGCGAGGTCAGGAGCCACAAGAGGGGCCCTCAGAGGAGAGCCAGTCGCTCTGCTCCTCCGTCAAGGACGAAGAAGCCTGCATTTTCAAATTCAAATCCAGCTTCCCTGCTGCTGCTGCAAATCCGCGGATCAGGACTTGGGCCGAGAGCGACATTTTTTGTTGTTTTTAGTTTGTCTTCTTCTTAGGGACTTCACCTAGCACCCAGCACGCGTCACGCCACCACCGAGGCCTGAGCGGGGCGACGCGTGTGGCATCTCCAGGCCAGAGGCCGAGCCTTCCCGCAGCGAGGGCGGCCTCGGACGTTGCAACGCCCAGCCCCGCCACCCTGCCGCCCGCTGGGAGGAGCTGGCCGCCGCCGCCGCCTGAAAACATGAAACAAACGAAACAACAGAACGCGTCTGTCTCCCCAGGGGCCTTCTTTCCCCCTCGTCCGCTGAGAACACGAGCGCACCGCTTCCCGGGAAATCAGAGGCATGGGGCCGCTCATTCCATCCCGGAGGCTGGGAAGCCCCTGCGGAAGCGAGACCGGCCGCACGTGGGACGTGGCCCCCGACGGCACGTCCGCCCCGCTGCGCCCGGCCGCGGGGCTGGTGGCCGCTGCGGGCGGCGTCCGGCACCCTCCGCGGCGCGGCCGGCGTATCGGGCCCGGCCCGG